CACCAAACAAACAAGATAATGTTGACAGCGAATCGGAAGTTGTGTTAAAACATATCTGGTTCATGACTGTGGCCGTGTGAGGCCTACCTGACTATAGCTGAAATCTGTTATTGAGATAGATATTAAGTCTACATGTATTTGACAATCCTGCCCTGAATTTACATTAAAGACCGATAACATTCGACAGAAATTTAAAAAAAAAAAAAAAAAAAAAGAGAGTAAATGGGTACATTCATAGATTAGATCTGGGCTTTCAAGCTGTGACATAAAAAAATCATGGGACAGGTTATATGAGGTTCAACCTGTTTGTAAAAGAAATGCATGCCGGTTATCCTAAAAAAATTTTAAAAAAAAATAAAAAACACAAGGAGCCAATGCACTGAATAACATTTTCACGTTTGCTTGTTTCACATTTTTAATACTCCTCACTGTACCTAAAAATCAAAATATCTTCTCTGATGATGTGTAGAGAGATGAATTTGACCGATGAGAATTTGATCTGAGATGCGTGTGTGTGTGTGTCTGTGTCTTTTTTTTTTTTTTTGGGCCAACATGACAATAATGAGCTCCCTCCCAACTCACAACATAAAAAAAAAAAAAAGTTTTTTTTTTTTTTTTGACATGAGGCGAGTAAACTTAAGTGCTTTACATTTGACTGCATGCAGTGTTATGTCTCTGAATGTTGCGAGACACCTCGCAAATTTTTGTAATTTTTTTTTCCTCCATAATTTACTTTGATACCATGCAATAGAAGACGTGCAAAAAGATAACACCTAACTCCACAAACACATTTTTGATTGTTAATGGCTATGTTATGAATGCTTATAACATGTTATGCTTAGTCCATGCTGGCCTATAGAGACATTTATGAGAAAACAGCAGTACTTAAGCCACAGGTCAAACAAACACACAAGGGATGCATGGAGTGTAAAACAACATGGATCCATAAAAATCACAATCTTTAACTCTTATTCTATGTACCTATGGGATAAAACAATGCACAAAAGTTCTTTGTCCTTTGTTTTCTTAAGTAATGTATTTGATTATCTTTTCTTAACTTAAAAGACAGTGTTTGATTGGCACTTGATCAGCACTTCTAAACAAGTTATTGATATCTAACATTTGATCGCACATCTACAATTTCAGAAGCTGCAGAGGTCTAGTTTGGCACAGGTTGTACTATGGAGTCTATTATTACTTTTACTATCTTACCAATACTGTATAGTATTCTATACACCTCGTTTTATGCTCCAGCCTTTCAGAGCATGTTTCTAATCAACAGACCAGACATCTTTTCAACTAAAATATTTTGTATAGTTTACTTATCAAATAGCAGCATTTTCATAACTTACAAAAAGTACATGTAAACCTATTCATTCAAAATCTTAGTAATTTCAAAGGTTCATACAACAGACATAAAACACAAAACAGGACAACATGCTACTATATTGCTTCCAATATTCTTTACATTTTCTTACTGTCAAACTAAATCATCAATGACAGAAATATGGACACCACCGGTTGATGATGAGTCATCATAATGCACAAACAAATCGCGAAGCTAATCTTAATCAGGCTTAGTTGGCACTCTCATCATCCACACAAATATAACATAGTTCACATTGTATCGACAACGCTGGACTGCATTTGGACTACAAACTAGAATAGCTACAATAAAGTACATATAGATCATATGACATGACATATTGTATTCCACAGAAATGAATTCTAGTCATTTTCAGATAAGAGGATATGCATAAAGGATGTCATTGTTTCGGCTTGAGGTCACAAACAAGTTCCCACCTTACTCTCGCTGTATCTTATGCGTTCTGTCCTTACTATGCTTTGTTTAGAGGCCGAAACTTGAGCTCAGTTTGTTCAGCCTTCGTATGAATATTTATTCAACCAAGATTTGCCTTCTTCTGGAAAAAAAACCGACACTTTCTCTTCCCTTAAAAGGCCATAGTTCACCGTCTAAACCTTTCTAAATCCTACTTGTTCTTCTTATAGAGGGAATTTGATACTTTGAGCTAATGTTGCTGGTTGGTCTTGTGGGTGTCACAGTTTTTGGAGGCAGGTGTTTTCTGTGCATTTTAGCCTTGTGAACTCTACGGCCTGGGGAAAATATTTTCATACCCTTATGACCTATAGTGCATAACTCCCACCAGCAGCACACCCGGCACACCGCCCATGACGAGACAAGACAGGAGGAAGGAGAAAGAGGGGGAGAGCACAGTGTAGGAAGAAGCACAGACAGGGATTGGGACACAGGAGGAGGAACTTCCAGTAACGGTGAGAAACAGCAACATGCAGGGGAATAAAATGTTGAGAGAAAGAGGAAAGTTAATGAGGGGCAGAGAGAAATAGTATTTGGCACAATGTATTGATCAGAGAGCTTTGAAGGAGAGCTCTCTGCAGGCAAGCAGTCCAGTTGCATTGATAAAACATCCCCTTGTTTTGTGCTTGTATCTTATTATATGCTAAAATCTTGGGCAGTAAAAGTTTATCTTAACGCTATGATTTCACTAGTGGCCAGATTGGAGTTTATGGATGAAGCCTTCCAGACACATAGTGAAAGGAAAGATTTCAGATAGGAAGAAAGGCTCACTGTTGCATTTGTCACGCATAATGTTCAGACACAAAGAGTTGTTTCAAACATGTTCAAATCCATTTACTTTCAAACATGAATTATGAAAATGAAAAGAGAAAAAAGGGTATTCATCAAATTTTCCAAAAAACGGGAGCGGTTCTGATTTTCTTGGACGCTATACTCAGCACCAACCCTCACAGCCGTGTATTCAGGAAGCTGGTCATCGAGCTTGGGTTGATGGGGGGACAATTGAAAGATGTCTCTAGAGTTGGGGACGTAATAGGAGCGTAGGAGAATACAGTGCAGGAAAAATGTGGTGGGAATAATTTGTGGTTTTCGCTGATCAGAAAAAACGCCCGCTACTTTAAGTGCAGTGCATTGGTACTGGTAAACAGAAACATCACAAGACGCTGGAGTATAAATGCTCCCGTGGAGATGTCCCTTCTGTCAGTATTGGTGGGTCTTGTGTGTGTGTGTGTGACATAGATGTGCACATTAAAATATACTCACATCCCAAGCAGGGACAGACACGCTTTACATTGTGTTCTTAATGTCTCACAGTGCAGTCTTCAGAGACCCAGTGTACTCAGGATGAACACCATGGATAGCAGCACAGGAGGAAGCCAAGGTAATCTTCAAGTGCTTGTAAATGCTCTACACAATTAGCCTCCCAGCATTAGACAAACAATTGCCCATAAAAGACAATGATGCCAAAACATTTCGTTATGTTTTATTACGTGCTCCACTCGGAGTTAGTGAGCATTAACATGTTGCCTGGATGAACTACAGAATTGTTTTTTTTTTTTTTCTTTTCGTCTTGATGCAAATTGGGAAGGATGGCTCAAAGAAAAAGTGAGTCCAACCCTTCTTTTCAAGTGTCAGTCTACTTCCCTTTCATTAGTGTATGTCTCTCGACTATTTGGTACCCTTAATGTAAAGGCAATAGTTGCTTTGTTCACAGATATTGGTTCATACAGCTTTTCTTATCAAAATGCGTTTGTAGTGCTTTGTTCCCTTTGCGAACTGAACTGGTTGGACACTGCTTCAAGGTAGTCTGAGCTTTTACGTTAATTCTTGGGTGTTACTTACGTGTGACTAAGGCAAAAATATTGTCAGGTAAAATCTAGAGTGTGGCCAATTTCTGGAAAAAAAAAAACAAAACAAAAAAACCTGCATTGGGAGCGATGATGGACTTGAAATATTAAGACTGGGCTGCTTTTCATCATGAAATGCTGAAATCAGTCCTTTTTCATTAGGTGAGAGGCTGGGTCAGATCCAATGGGCTACTAATGGCTGGATGACACATCATCTTTTTTTTTCTTTTTTTTTTTTAAATCAAGTAAAGAGATTAGTCGCCAGAGAGATTCTGATTTCATGGTAAAGGAGATATAAACCTAATCCTATAGCACCAAGAAAGGGTTAAACAACAAACATATTTCTGTGTGTTTGTAGCTGTGACTGAATATGCAAATATGTTTCAGTGTTTGTGCATTTGTGGGAGCATTATCTATGTGTGTTCATGTAAAATATATTTATACATTCCTGTGTGTCTCCTCTATCCTCTCACATTGATTATTTACCCCCTGAACTATTCTTGCAGACAGCAACAGCGAAGTTCAGACTGGGTTTGAGTTATACATTTCTTTCACTGCAACACAATATTTGATCCCTGTAAATAAAAAATAGCAATAGGCTAATATTGTTTTTACATTCAGATCAACCTGCGTTCACAGGTTTAAATAATCTATTTGTGTTTGAATGAGACCATGTCAATAAATAAAGGATGAAAATATAAAATACCCAAATTTAGAAACTTCAATTATGATATGAGCCAGAATTCAACATATGTCAAAATAGATGCGATTTCTTTAAAGAAATTATACTCAGATTGCTTCCCCATAGACTGAGATGACCTCAGGTGCTTGTCATAAAACCTGTCCCCTGTCAACAATGCCGTCTGCATTGTATACAAAGAGCAAGGTTTGTAGAACAGCTCTGTTAGCTGGCTGGAACTTCATCTGACACGCTCAACTCACCGGGAGCTGAGGTTTGCAACTGAAATGAAAACCAACAAACCAAACCAAAAAAGAAAAGAAAAAAAAAAAAAAAGAAAAAAGGAAAATAAAACAACTATGAGGTTTTGGAGGAGGGTGAAACCCTGCGGCTTCACCCCTGAATCTGCAGCTTGGCAGTGGACCAGTTCAGCTTACTCTGATCACCATCGTCAAAAGGACTCGACACAAACTTTTAAAAAACATCAGGACGTCAGTCCTAAAAACACATTCACATATCACACACACTTATCTTGGTTGTCTCCCCCACCTCCTCCTTTGTGATTCTCTCATTTGATACTGAAATATTGAACAGATATTTGGACATTTCTTTTTTCTATTCATCGTGACCCTCTCAATTCCCTTCTATCTCTGTCTTCATCCTTTCCTTCTTTCCTCTTCTTTTTCCTTTTAGCCCACCTTTTGTGGGTTGGTAGCTCGCACACCCTGCTCGTAAGTGATCCGCTGGCTGATCAGATACTGCGCTGCTTGTGTAGCGGCTGGCGACCCTGTTATGGTAACTTTACGGTTCCGAGTACCAGGAATGAACTCTCCCTTTTTGGAGATCTGGATGCGGGCTCCTGTTAGCTCCTGGTACTCAACCAGCGTTTTCCCTCCTTTCCCCAAAATGGCGCCAACCAGATTCTCGGGAACAGCTATCTCAACCACGTCCTTGGCCCCATCTGCCAGCTTCTCTGTTGCCAATAGGGAGGAGGCCATCAGTGGGGATGAAGCATTTAGGTAACCATTAGAAGCCCCTGTGGCAGCTGCTAGAGAACCCAGGGAGAACCCACCAAGGCCTGTAGCAGGGTGGCCAGCACTGCTGGAGGCATCGCTAGCATAGGAGGCCAGCAGGTTAGCTGCAGCAGCAGCAGCCGGGTTAGCACTAGCTGCTACTGCAGCAAGGACCCCAGAAGCAGCTGCAGGGTTGAGGCCCAGCCCGAGGGTGTTAGTGTTGTAGCCATAGCTGGCCAGTGTATTGAGGGCTGAGGTGATGGCCAGCAGATCATTGCCAGAGAAGCTGGACATGGCTGCGGGGAAGGCGCCCATTCCTGTCAAGCCGGCCTGACCCAGAAGGCTGGAGGCAGTGGCGGCTGCTGCGGCGGCGTTGGGCAGCACCTCAGCGGTGTTGGCGTAGGGGGAGCCGGTGGGGTTGGAGTTTGCCACTGGGCCCGAGACGTTAGAATAGCTGATGTTGAGACAGCTGCTGCTCTGAGGGTCCTCCTGGATCTTCTGCACTATGATTTCCACAGCCTTGCGGTTCTGCTCAGGCTCCCCACTGATGGTTACCACTCGCTCCTGCAGGTTGATGCCCTCTGGCTTCTGGGAGAGCTGTACCCAAGCCCCTGACTGCTCCATCACTGCCTTCACTGTGGCTCCGCCCTTGCCAATGATCAGCCCAGCTGTGCTATTGGGCACGATCAATTTGGCCTGTAGAGAAATAGAAAGATTGAAGTAGCAATAAAAGGTAACTAGAGACAGATTTAATAGCATAAACGGTCGACAGAAAGAGGGATATCTCTCAGAGTCAGAGTACTATACCAGCCCCTGCTTTACTCAGCGATTTGTTAATCCCAGGGGTTTAGGCTGCAGCTGCCACACGGCTCTGTCTAGCTATGAAAGACTGTAGGTAAAAATAACCACATACCCTCACATTTTCCTGACCCTACCACACTGTGGGGGTCATGGCCCCAGAGAACAAATAAGACTAGCAACTAATAAACAAGGTGTCCTGGAAGTGAACTGCCCCTACCACACAGTGACCCTCAGACCCATCGACTGTTCAGTAACTCACCTGTTTGACACGGTCGGGGTTGACAGTGGTCTGTGGCTGCAGTATGCTGACTGGCTCGGGTTTCTGGGCGCTCTGGGGCATCTCGCGGACTTTCTCCGCGATGAAGTTGTGAACACCATTGAGGGCTTCGACTGTACCCTGTATCAGACAGACTCGTTCTGTTGTTCCTGTGATGACAAGAGGGGGAAGAGGACAAACACAGAAGTGATTGGTTACTCTAATGCGCTCTGAGTGCGTACTTGGCGAACAGATTTGAGGGAATTGCTCATGGCTGGACCTGAATCTACATTTATATTAAGATGTCTTGGCAATGAAAATTGTTCCTTGACATTTCACAAAGAGACCCAATTACTAAGCTATTCCTCGCTTCTTCCATTTAAACAATCAACAGAGAAACAGCTGAAAGAAAAGAACCGTGCTTGGTTAGTGAGCCATGGGGGTGGGGGTGGTGGTGAGGGGCATTCCTCCTCAATGATGTAACTCTTTCACTGCTGTAATGCTGAGCCTGTCCTTGCCTAGCAGCTCTAACAGACCAGACACACACTTGTTCCTCCTCTGGGCTTCTTTCTACACCCACATTGACGACCCAACCGGCATTCCGTTGCCATGGTGAAGGGGCCGAGCCATGGAAACAGGTGATGCAACAGCGAGTCTTTTATACTTCCTTGCAAGATTTTTAAAACACCCCCCCTCCTTCCTGCCTTTGCTCACTTCAACATCTGACTGCTCTTTGGCTGATTTTCTTAAATGACTTAACAGACGACATAAATCTGAATGAGGCAGATCATTTAGAGAGGAGAAAGTGTCACATCTTCCCTACTAATTGGGTAAAACAGAACAGATAATGGGGTGAACTTGTGTCTGAGCAGCACTGCTCTTCTTCATCATTGGCATTTCCATCTGTAATTCAGTTAAATCTCAAATGATATGGGTGAGACACACATTTGTATCTGCAAAAATGAATTCAGCGAAATTAGTCAAAGTCAGAGCGGATTGGCTTCATGCCACTATACACATGTCTAAGAATGGATTTAAGTAATCAATAGGTCAGTTCAAGCAAATCAGGAAAAGCAGTAGAAAACTCTTAATTGGGAAAAGTGGGGGAAAGGGCATCTGACCTTATTTCCTTTGTTTCCTTAAGTACTCGATAATAGCTTTAAATAAACCTGCACATCTTACCATATTTCTGACTGTCAACTTGTGTGGCTAAAACAAACAAAAATAAAATGTCTACTGAAATAACAAACATAAATGAAGGCTTGCAGAGCTCCGGACAGAAGCACAGTTGGCGCCTGTTGGTGTTTTTGTGCTGCACCTGCCTGCCATTCACTGAAGTGACAAAGTGATAGACCGAAGCCTGCGAGTGCAGGCACTTGACCTGTTGTGGGTTTGTAATGACAGCACACTTATTACTAACATTTCAAAATGACAATACAACTCATTACTTTAATCACATGCATGCAGCTTTCAAGGCACTGGCTACAATGGCCATTTTTAAAAATGTCCCAAATTCAGGGTCAGTTGTTTGAAAATGAATCAGACAAGATAAACAATGGGTGTTATTTCCTATGAAGCCTATTTACTCTTATTTTCAATTGTTTCTATTAATATTGAGTGTGCTAGAGGAAATTATAAAATGATATTAATTGTGTAATACATAAAACAAACAGACAAAATATAAACTAGGAGGAAGTTAGAACTGATATGTGAACAAAAATTAATTACACACACAAAAAAAAAAGATTGGACTTTCAGACAGTAATGAATTATTCGACTAGAGCTGCCTCTTTGCTTGCCCTCTGCAGGTGCAACGAATTATAAACTTGGCCGTCTCGAGTGACGCAACACATCCTTAAAATGCTTTTTCAGCTTTCATCTATGGATGAGGAGATCCCTCTCCCCCCTCTGGCACAGAAAGTTAAACATCTCTGCATCTTGAATGGTCTTCAAACAGTGACAGTGCAGCTCCCACATCAGTAGGATCGTTTATCCTGAGGCAGAAAACTTGATGTATAACTACAACTTCTGTCACTGATGAGACTCTGCAAAGAGGACATGAAACTATCTGAGTTTTAGATTTTTTAGTCTTTTACCCTTTTCACTTCGTGAATTGCTTGCATCAGCTTTTGCTTACTGTCTTTCTTTGAGGGTGATGAATTTCATAATATAACCTCTGGGCTTTGAGTCGCTGTAAGAGTTAGCTCGTCCTCTTGTTGGCAGGAGGGGAGAGAAATGTGTCAGTGCCCCACAGAGCACACATCTCAGCCTTCAGCTTCCCCCAAGACACCAGTGACTCTCAGGTCTTCTATCTTGATCCTGAAGTAAGAAAGTTTCAACACTTTTGTCTAGTCGATTGAGCTTCTCCGTGATTAAAATCTGCCTTAGCTTGGCCAAATCTTTTGTCACATTCATTCAGACACATAGAGTATCACCCATAATTACTGTCATCACATCAGCAGATTTTTGAACTAATTATTCACACTGCAAATTGAGCTGGAATATTTCTGTTGGAATTCCCACTGCTGAATATATTCATCATGCCACACTGTTACCATATGGCATGCTTCTCTAAAATGAAAACACTGTTTTTAAACATTGGGATCCTTTTTAAGCGTGCCATTTTATACTGCAAGTCAGAAACTGTCTCTTGGAAAAATGTTACATTGTATCACATCCTAAAGTTCCCAACAACCACTGTTGCCATATTAAAAAAAAAGAAGACAGTAAACACACAGAGAAATAAGCCAGTAATTACAGACTGGTTTGTTTCAAGTACCTGGTTCTAATAAACTGTAAGACACACAAATTATGTTTCTTAACAGTAAATTGTAAATGACGGCAGAAACATAATACTGTGGGACCAAGCACCAACCTCTATGGCTGAAAAATGAAGGCAACACATAAAAGCTGCAGTTCCTCAAATGACCACTTGTGACTGGCTCCAAAAGTGAGTCAATCCCCCTAGACTCTCATGTTAAAATGCCCAACTTTACAGCAGAAATAAACATGTTTACTGCCTGGTACAAATAACAGTTTTGGTCTCTATAGCTAATTTCCTCCATCATGACAACTGTACATGGGGTGAGATTTTATATAACTCACCTGTTTAAATTATATTAAGGTTTAAATTTATGTATAATTGAAGCGTGCTGCTTTGAGTGACAGGTGGGCGGGTGTATGTTTTCCACAAACCGGTATGCACCGAAGTCTCTGCTCCACATACGCCCCACCTCTTTGCCCAGTTTTGGATTAGCAGGGAGTTAAGTGTGGGAGTCCGTCACTGCCAAGATGGCAACAGTGGAGCAGCTCACTCTGAGCTGCAAACCTGTTCTTCAGAAACCTATGGGTGATGTCACGGAGGCTACATCCATCTTAATATACAGTCTATGTGTGGGACATAATGGAGTACTAGTAATGTCAGTAGTAATGTAGGATCTGATGTCTGTGTCACATTAAAATACACCAGGGATTTTACTACTAGAAGGAACACAGACACAAAGTGCACGCTTAGATTAGATCTTAAAGACTGGAGCTCTTTGAAGTTATATGTAATCTTCGCTAATTTTAAGGGGGGGTTAAAGGTTAAGGCTGGCGGTGATATTTTTTTTTTGTCAACAAATCTCATGAAAGGACCAAAACTGACAAAGCATTAGTGAATTGCCTCCAGTACCTTATCTGTCTGTGGCTCTCAGCCTCAAGCCCATTAGTTCCTGCTGAAGACACACATTTTTGAAAACCCATCACAAATACATAGTTTCACTTTTTAAATATCCCAAAAAATATCCCAAAACAGGTGGCCACTGTAGTTTTTAAAGAGCATTACTCAATCAGGGGGCAATAGTGCATTTATTGGGGACTATTTTACCAATGGATTAATACACATTTGGTGCCCTGGTGAGTATTTACAGCAGCAGGATAGTGTTGGTGTTCCCAATGTGGTACTGACTCATAATAAATTACAGTGCCCATGTTTATGGTAATGAAGTAACCTGTCACCCAGTGCAACAGTGTGGCTCACTGATGTGTTTTTAATAGTTTCTGGACAACAATGGGGCTCTGTGGCACAGAGGAATAAGATAAATCGGGCTCTGAATACACAGACAATACTTTTTAGTAGGATTCATTCATTGTTGGTTGTGGCCTTTTCATTTGCTGACATATCGAATATCACCAGACGTCCTCTATAACAAATGAGGCAAGTATCAGAAAGTTATGTCTGAAATGGTATACAGACAGAGTTGTGATGAGTTGAGTAAAAAAGATGTGAACTAGAAAACAACAGGTCATGTTACACTGATTCATATGGATGCATGAGGGGATATCTTGGTGTATGTACAGTGACTGAGACCATGCAATAATTTCAGAAAGTTCAGATCCATGCTAATTTTGCAACATTTTGCAGTGTGGTGATCATGGACACAGCATAAATCGACGGGCTGCACAAAATTAATACAATTATTACAAATGATGGAGGGTGCTGTGATGGCTCCAGGGACAAACAAAAACAGAAACAAATTAAACTAGAAGGGCATTCAGAGAGCGAGGACCTCTGCCATGGCCAGTGTCAAACACCATACACCAAGACTTGAGAGAAAAAAATTCAAATTCATAATAAATGATCCAGATCTGCCCCAAAAAGTAACAGGCTCCTCCTTGGCCCATGACTCATCCCTCCACCAATTACAGAGCAAATCGGTTCAATACTTTTTGTGTAATCCTGCTGACACATAAACAGACACGGGTGAAAACATAGATTCCTTGGCAGAGATAAAACTTCTTGCTAATGGTGAACTTCTGCAATGTGGCGTTGAATGTAATGTTCTGAGGTCACAGTTATTGATGCCAAGTGGTGCACAAATCTTGTATGATTCGCTGTTAGTGCAAAATGTTAAAGTCATGCATTAATTTAGTAGCTTTATGTAGTATGGAATTGAAACACAGCTTGCGGTAATTAAAACCCAGAAAGGTTTTTCTTTTTCAAACAATAAGCCATGTGAAAATTTGATTTAATGTGCAGTGTACTAGTGTACTGCATTACTCAAAAATAGATTACATAGTGACTAAGAATAATTAGCAGGTAAGCACAAAAAGGTCATCTCAACCTACTGACTGCTGATAACTTGTCCCAGGTTGAGACTCCCCTGGGCCCATAGGTCATCTGTGCACCAGCTTACTACGACCCATAGCTACCTTTTATTGACAACCTCTAGTGGCCGTAATGATTATTACAGGAGCAAAGAAGGGTGTCGAGCTGACAAAGAATAAAGAAACGTCCATATCAGGCACAGGCCGGGGATGGATGGATAGGCCCAGAAAACACTGGACTTTGAGACAGGAGGAAGCTGCTGTTTTCCCATGTGAAACCAATTGTTTCTTTAAAATGTTCCACATCCTTAACTGTGTGTTTATTATTGTAACCATGACGACAAAGCTCATCTAACCTTGAGGAAGAACTTTTTTCCTAAACCTAACCAAGTAGTTTTTGTTCCTAAACCTAACCAAACTTTGACTCTTGTTTATTATTGTAACCATGATGACGAAAGTCTGGTACAGTGCTGGTACACTCTGCATGTTTATTATTGTAATCAGGTCTGAGGACTTGTTGCCCTGGTTGGACCCTGGCAGGCAATAGCAGCCTGGGACTCTGCCTCACTTGTTGCATTTTCTCTTTGAGCTCTGAAAATGATACTTTGAATCAAACAGCGTTCCTATCCATTTTAGGTTTTTCTTTATTTTACACTCTAAGATTCCTCAAGATGAATTAAGGAGTTGGAGGATAAAGATTTGGATATAGCCAACAATTAAATGTAGGCTATCATTTCCAGAGTTGTTTGCACTAAAAGTGGTTAGAATAGCTGCTAATGGTAACTAGTTACTGGTAACTTTTATAAACATGGGGGACAGATTTAAAACAGAACTGTCACGTTTAAAGCAGCATAGGCCAAGACATTGGTACTTTTACTCAAGCTCCAAAAACTCTGGATAGCATCTTTCATTACACCCTCCCTGCCAGCTAAATGCCCTCATCTTTCAAAATCAACAACTCCTAAGCCGATATCACACTCAATCAATCAATATAACAATCATCACAGTTGTTTTGTCAGACTTTGGAAAGCTCCCTCTAGAGCCACAGAGGAGATCATTCAACTGTTTCCACTGGCTTACACAGACTCCTTATGACGAGTAAACTTCATGTATAAAATTGGTGGTGTGCCCCTTTAATTATTTGACCTTTTCCAATCACAAATATTGCAGCAGTTATTTGGTTGTTGTTCAGATGCTCTCTTGCTCTCTAACACTGTGTTGGCACCATAAAGTAGAACAGGATCTTACTACAGTGCGACAACTGCTCCTGGTTGAAGCTGGGAAGAGTCACCTGAAATGAGTTGTTGTTCACTGGAGACACAGACGTGAATCTGGAGGATCTGGTGCTGTCCTACAGGGAGCGTGAATGAGTGAGTATATACTGCATATAGAGATACATTTGGAAAAACAACAACGTTTTGCTGTAGTTTCTTTGTCTGCTATTTTTTGAAAGAAACACCTCAACCTATACTCTATGGAATAGTGGTGTTTTCCAGTGTGAGGTTACACACTGTGATTGATGTTTTAATGATCAGATAATGGAAAACATACTCCCAGTGTTTCTATGACATCACAACAACCTCATCTGTTTGTGCTGTACAAAGTAACTCAATACATGTACATGGCCAGAGGCCAGCTGCACAAAGCAAAGGGTTTAAAGTTTTGTTTCTAAGTTTATGTTCAAATCGTGAACTCCCACGGCTCTCGTTGCAGCTGCTTAAATATGCGGATGTGTGTAAGTAGGTGTGTGGAGGTGTGTGTGTGTGCTGAATGCATGGTACGAGTGGGTGAATGCATAGCATGCTGCACTTATGAAGGCTCAAGACATTCAGCCATGCAAAAGTTCACATGGGTTCAAACTAAATAATAAAACCAAAAGAAAAGCCAGCGCCCATGTGTTAGGAGTGAAGCATGCAAACACAATTTTAAGAGAAGTGTGATGTAATCTTATCTGGCCAGAGCTCTCCCAACTACCAGGAACCAAATCTGAGAGAAACAGTGAGCGGGGAGCAGGAAAGAGGAAACTTGGCGTGTGTTGGAGCAGCTTGAGTACAGCTGGGAGAGGGGTCATGTCCACAGAGAGAGATTGAAACAGGCTATTTCTGGGCCTGCCCCCCTGTCCCCTCGCTCACATACAATCATGCATCATCCACACCCTTCACTATCTCCGCTCATCCATCTCAGTCCGCCACAGCAGGGCCCAGTTGTATAGTTCCCATCAAGACCTTTGAATTCATGGTTTCATGTCTTACACTGACAGATGGGAGATGTGAGGTGGGTGGGAGCCTCAGACTGAGCCTTCAAAGAGAGGACTGCAGAAGAAAATGGCTGCATCGGTTGTTGTCCCTTGATTTTTTTTTCTCTAGTGTGTGATTTTGCTGTGGTTGGAGTGTGGAGTGGAGCTGCCGCAGGATGAGAGATGGGGGTGTGAACTGTGTGTAACAGTGGTAGCATGCTGTAATGGCCCGGATCACACCTGATCCAGACATAGCTGATCTAAAACAGCCTCGAAAATTCAGGACCATATATTTCATTGCTGTATATATGTTTCTGTTATAAACTTCACCAACTTGGTCAGACTTAAAAAAGCTGTAGTTTTTTAAAGGTTTCGCTTCTGTTGACTTCTCAGAAAGCCGCACTCTCAGCTATTGTGCAGTGTACAGTAGCAGTCGTTTCATTTTACTTGTGTGGGCCAGAACAACCACCCAATCAAATCCTTGCCAGCACCCTCTCCCTGAACTCCTCTTCTCACTCATCACGATAATGAGTAGGGGGATGGGCAGAGCAGGTGGTGGCCTATGAACACATCCACAATCCAAAGAGAGAAATAAAGATACATATCACTCCCTTCATTTGTTTCTACACCAGTCAAGTATCCATAATCCATTCCCTCAAACGGAGCCGGCCTCGTGTGTGGAGAGGCGCGCTTTAATCGTGGCTAAAAGAAACATGGTGGAAGAAAAAGTACGGGAAAAAATATTTGCCTTGCACATCCTTCTTTTCCTCTCCCCCAGTGCTCAGTAATTCTTTGCCACGATTATATATCACTTGTAACTCCCGACTGAACAGGTCAAAATGAAAAATGAAGGGCATTTTTCCTGCCTGTTGTAGTGTAATATTATCGTTTTCTACATAAAAATAAGCTAAGAACTCTCTTTTCTAAGAACCTGTCTCTGTCTCTCCGATTTTATACTGGGAGTTGCTCAAGGCAATGAGAGCACTGACTGTGAACCTTATAATTTAAAAACAACTGTAGTATTTCTCACATACACATTTAGCGGTCATCATGTTTCATAGGTCATGTGCACTGCACTACTATTTCCTATCTAAAGAGGTAATAATATATTCTAAATATGTAGACAGTAAAAAGTATACTACTACACAGGGATTATTTGCATGAGTTATCACAGAAAACATCTGGACCTAATAAGCAGCGAGACACTCAGCACCTGTTATTTTTCAGCAGGTTGAAGAATCCTCTGAGGCATGAAGGACAAACACCCAGAGTCCTCTACCACTCAGACACTTGTGTACGGAGCATAAGATGGTTCAGCTTTGACCTCCATGTGATAAGGGTCATCGAGCTGAGAGGGCATCCTTCTCATGTTGCCGTTTTTGAGTGAAACTCTCTGACACAATTAATGCTTTTCATGTACGCAGCGTTGCCTCTGCATCACAGAATTTCCTCTCATGTTTTGGTGGGAATAAAATGGCAGCCGTGCGCAACTCTGCAGACTTCGCTTTGAAAAAGTGAGACATGGGAGCATGAACCCTGTACTGAAGGGTGCAACCTGCTAGCCAGCAACTTAATTGAAACTGTAACTGCCTAGGGACTTGATTGCAGCATCTCAGAGTAGTAACAGCTACATGTATGTTCAGTCCCTCAAGGACATAAGGATAATCAAGTTCAGTGTTCACGATTGGTATGTGATTAAAATGTAATGCAATTATTCATGGAAAGCCAAATGAAGAGGAAATATCAGATGCTCGCTCTCATCAAACCACCACTGCTTCAGCTGGATGATGAGTCAGACTCCTCCTCTCCTTTATATACATATATATGTATATATATATATACATATATATGTATATGTATATAAACGTCATTTATACTCATCGATTTTAATTACTGAGTGATCATTCTTACCTGGGTAGAAGTCTTTGGATTTGGACAGCTTAATGGTGGCACCCGTCTCTTTCTGCAGTTGTACGATGGTCTGGCCGCCCTTGCCAATTATAGAGCCGGCTGCATAGCTGGGGATCAGCACCTTCAGGAAGTACTCACCCTCCTCTGGGGGGGAGACACATAAAGTGGGAGAGGGTCACATCTTGTAAAGTAGCTGCACATCATCATGTACACCACACTGGCACCCAACCCCCAAACCTCTGAACAAGCAAAAAACTCACANTGGGGGGGGTGGGGGTATCTGTGTTCCTCTGGTATCTGGTAGGAGATTTTGCCCTTTGAGTTCTTTGTAGTTTCCAGTGCATTCACATTTTATTGGAGATTGGTGACATGTTCTGTGTCCTGTCCCAGATTTCTCGTAGAGTAAATGATGACCTCCTTTCCAGTTTGCAGAGGTCTAATTTTAACTGTTTTCAAGGAGTTTTAGCAACCTCTGACTAGATACAAAGTCCAGCGTTACTAATCACTGTTCACACATGAATAAAAGGAATGTGGAATTAACAGTTCAGTCTGAATGTGAAATGTATCCCGTGTTTTTTGAGAAACAAAGTTACACACAGAGGACTGATGCAAACACATGCCGTCATTATCCATGCAGTTCACGAATACCAATACAAAGTGATCCGTCGTAATTAACGGACGTGAGAAGAACATATGGGAACCAATCCCCCAGATTTGTTCATAGGGTACACTGCCAAGATGGTCTAAATCTCCTCCATTTTGGAAGGGGCTTCTGTGGCTTACCATGGCTTGTGGAAGGAAGTGATTGACAGCATGTCAGTTTGAGGATTTTGCAGCCAAGCATGTTTCTCCCTTTCAGCAGGGAAAGTTCCCTCTCCTACGATTCTGATTAAGAATTAATCAGCATCAAAGTGGGTGAAGTATCTGTCCAAGAAAGCCCTGATCACATTGAGTGCACTAATCTAGTAAAAAGCAATCAACCACATATTGAGCTTAGACCCGAAAACAATCAAAGAACCTGCCAAGAAGGCGTCAAAAATATTATATTTATAGATGTGGGACGGTTGTGATTCCCCAATGAATTCCAACTATTGCATCAATGACGTCATGGTAAACACTTGGTACAGGTGCATACTTACTACACTAAAGCACTGATACAAATCATCTCCTCTGCATGCTGTTTTCGAGGCAATGACGTCATGTTCGATCCATTTCAGCTGCCTCAAGGGTGACGTCACTGGAGCGGGCAGAGATGTAAAAAGGCACTGTCCACCTTTGTGTGACGAGATTTCCAACACGTTTCAGAGTGTGGAAAGATTCAGGTTTTGATTGCGGATGCTGAAGCCACAGGGTCTGTCACCGTGTCACTGCATCCTATGTTTTGTGGGGGGTAACCGATTTTGGGGGCTTGACCGGGATGGTGGGGAGGAAAGACGGATGGATGGATGGATGGATGGATGGATGGATGGATGGATGGATGGATGGATGGATGGAGGCGGACCACCCTGCATTGAAACCAACCTGTTGCCTCTGTAATGCACTCATTACATTCAGATGTGAATGAACATGGCACTGTGACATCAGGAAATTTCACAGCCTACAAGTTAGCTCTTTTCCTTATTGCATTAATATGCCCTTCATGTTCCATTCAGACACAGCCTTGGTTTCGTGCACATCTCCCACAACCAATGGCTCTGACAAATATACAGACAATGACATGATTGTTAATGCAATTTCACTTTTCATTTAGATTAATTGGCTGTGGTTGTGGAAACAATCTCAAATCCTGGAACATATTATTCCCACATTACGTGAAAGCACAAGATTTACTCGACCAATCGAAAGCTAGTATACAGTATATATGTCAGGTGCTGGTCAATATGTCAATTGTCTGTGAACATCCTGACAAAAGAAATAAGACATAAACCTTTAAATGGACACCACAGAACCAACTCTAATCATCTCTGGCCATTGTCTGGTCTTTGGATTTTCATGCTATATTGCAGTCAGCTCTCCGCTTTTCTCTCAACGAATAACAATAAAATGACCTTGGTGAAAAAATAAAGATCATGCATGACTGACACGGTCGCCATAAAGCTTCTGAGCCCTCCCTCCTATCACAAGATATCTGATAGCGTAGCCACACAGAGATTTTAATTTGAATGATGCTGATTGCAGGATCCAAACATCCAAAGACCTGTTGTTGACAGACAAGCCCAAACCCACTGCGTAACTTTCTGCTCATCTTCAACCAGAGTAAACCCAGCAGGGGAGGAAGCCACTAAGATTCCCTCCATCGCCCTCGCAGCCACGTTTGCTGTCATTACTCAATAATTAATTCTGTCCTAGTGTCTGAGATCACAGTAACAGGTTTTAATGGCGTCATGTGGTAGAGTAAACATGGCAATCTGTTGCTGCAATCCGCCAGGGAACGGGAGCAGTGGGGCACATTGGGAAGCTGAGCCAGTGGGGTGTTAGTTCAAACCCCTGCCTCCAATACTGGAAGGGTGGCTTGGAGGAGAGACACAGACGCTGAGCCAAATGTGTTTAGTTAAGTCACTCAAGGGGGGTGGGTCAGGAGGAAATGCCTTGTGACCGTCCTCCCTCCTTCTCACTACCCTTCCAAGTACCCATTCTGCATTTCAATGGACTAACCTGCTGCTGACAGGCAGCAAGGACGATGGAACAAAAATGAGCAATAATGGACAAATGAGCTTTAGGTGTATGAAATTTCACGTAGTCTAGCATGATGGATAAATTCAACAAGTCAGACAAAAAGAGTTTGAGGCTTACCCATTCTGAGATCTGCTGCTTCTCAAGTCCTCTGTCAGATCGCCATCAATGCCGGGGCACAATCTCTAAAGGGGATCTTAACATTAGCCTAGGCATAGGTGCAATGGTAGTGTTGAGGAATGCGGCCAGTCGACCTTTTTCACCGAGGTTTAATTCATCAGTGGGTGCAGAAAAAGAGATTTCACCGCAGCATCCGAGCCATGCCTGCAGCTGGCCAGAGCCTCAATTGTCTGAGAAAATGCTAATGCAGGCTCTCAGTGTTTTCAGTGAAAGACGGCACGCATTGTTCAAGCCTGCATCGGTTTGAAGGGGGGGGTCTTCCCTGCCGCATCACCCTTTTCACTGCTCTCATCCATATTCATCGAGTGGCCTGTCCGTCTGCAGCAGCACGCAGGACTGACACCTCTCTCAGCCAATGGGTAGCCTCCTCCCTCCACAACGTCATGTCCCCACCTCCCGACGCCGGTCCCAAAAAATTGAATTTTCTCTCCCACTCCGCCTCTTTTGACGCAGCACTATAAAGTATGGCAGTCCATTCACTCACTTTTTTTTCGTGGAAAGTGACAAAGGTGAAGTGGCTGAGTGAGCGGGCTTCAGCGGTGAATGGGGGAAGCATGTAGAGTGACCTTCAACAGTGGCAGGAGAGGTGTATGGATAACATAAGCAGATGATGAAGGAGGTGGAGGAGGAGTGATCTGAGACAGCGTGCCTTACGCCACCCACCCTCCTCTCCTCTTTTCCCCCACCCCCAATCCCTTAGACGGCCATGTTTGAGAGGGCGGAGGGGCTCATCAACCATTGCAAATGGCAGTGCCGCAGAATGGTGGAGGGGGGTGATGAAGCCAATCACTACGCCTATAAATCTTACACCGAGAGGTATCTTAAGTGGCTGAATGTGTGTAAAAACTGCAATGTGCATGTGTGTCAGTGTCTGTGCATGGACACGGGGGGGTTCAACTTCATTTACCAGTACCTTTCAGGGAACCTGTAAAAAAGGAACTCCTTTTTTCCCCCGGCCGCTGATTACTTTCATCCACAAATCAAACCCTAACACCATGGCCCATTTTGTTTTGGAGCGAATGCCTTCCAGAAAATTCTACCAGTCTCATTCACTGAGAGATGCTCTGGTATATAGACACAGCCTCCCTGTAGACTCCACTCCCTCTCACGGTCTATCTATCTCTCCTTTTCTCTCCATGCTTCTCATTCTCTCTTTCACTGCCACCTGGCAAATTCACAGTCCGCTCACGTCACATCACTCTGCAAGGGCACCTGTGTCCTTCCCACCAAAAATTAAAAAAAATACAGCTCACATTCCTGTGCCAACCTTTCCATTAGCAACATTACGAGATCATACCTAATCCCTCAGCCACACAACCTTTTGGAAGACGCATGCTTGCCAGCAACATGGGCTCAGAGTATGGGTAATTAGAAAGAGAAATGAATGAAAGATGCTTATTCTGAGGAGAGAGGGGCGATGCTGATAAAAGAGGAGTAATTTCCCTCATTCAGTGTCCACAGCTCTTAATGCACAATGAGGGGCTCAGCTTTGAAAGAGCACAGGCTTTCTTCTCTTTGTTGTAACTGCCAGTCATGTTAATGATCAGTTCGGTAGGAATAACGTGATCAATATCAGACGTAGTCAAGGGGTTGGTGATTACAGGGACGGCTAAGGATTATCAGGCTGTCTACCACTATTGCCAGACAGGCTGTGGGTTTGCAACGTTACACATGATGCATGTAGATCACATGAAACGGGAGGCGATGCTAACGCACGTTACATAAAGCTCTTGGCTGCCAAGATATTTATGAAACATCTGTTTTGTGTAGGAGTCATTACAAATGATCAAAACGGGAATTTCACGTGAACATTAACAGGGAGCCTCTGCTCCTAAGCTCAGGCTGTAGGACTGAATGAGCCTCAAACATCTCCCCTTTCAGATACTTATCAGGATGACCGGTAGATCAGCTGCCATTTCTCCTCTGTAAATCTAATTCTGGTGAGCTACTGCACATGCTAACAGAGAGAATGAGAGAATGCTAAGCTAACCTGAGCAATTGAAATGTCAATTACTTTAGAATAAAATGCCTTAAATATATTTACAGTCATTTTGGAGAGCAATACAGAGCCTGGAGATTCTCATTACACGACACGAGTGACCGTGTGTAGATGCTGCTTCTCTCAATGGCTATACGTTAAATAAACATGTACATGTGAGAAAATAGACATTTTAGTAGTGGTTCTCAGAGCAGTTTAGCATACCAGCTACCATGGGCTTTGGAGTATTACTTCACTAAAATTTGATGGGGAAATAAGGCAGCAGTTCTATTCATTTTTGACACTTTCAGGTCAGCATTACAAATCATTACAAGGCCAAGCCCCTACAAAACTAGCTTTGCTGTTAAATGTTCAGTTCAATCAGTTCCTGGCTCTTAACATTTATTTTAAAGTGTCATTCCTGGTGATTTGTGGCAGCAAAAAGTATATTACATGCTATATACTACATTATTATTTGCAATATGAAGTGCACAGGTCCATCTGTTTTTCTAAAAAATAGCAGCAGATATTTCATACTTACAAATGGGATGTGCTCATTGTTTTCCTTCATTACGTGATCAGGTATGTTGTAAAGGAAGGCATGTGAAACACTTCTGAAAAAAAACAAGGCAGCCTCTTCAGAGTTGCACACTGCTGTTTTCAAATACTGCTTTTTCATCACCTCACTGTTAATCATGCAGCTCAAGATTCAGACTGTGATATAGAGACGCCTGAGAGGACGATGGAGTCAGGCTGGTAAAATGGTTTGTAGTGACATTATAGAAATGACAGCAGTAAAATGCAGGAATTGCCTGTGTTAATTATGCATTTTTAGTATCTATTAAGATTTTCCAAATGCATTTTCACACCATATCACCTTGATATTGGATGGGAAGAACACCACGCGATTTCTCTGTTCTACAGTGGTTTTACAGTGGCCAATGGACGACATATGGGGTCTGAATCTGCTCTAAAATACTTTCTGGTGGTCTTTCTGTGCCATGCTGAAGTGACAGTTCTGATATGCAGTGAGGTGCAGCAAAGATGCTGTAAGAAATAGGACGTAAAGCTGCTGTCAGTGAATGACGGGGACACAAAGATGGACAAATTTCAGTAACATATGGCAAATAAACTGCCTTCTCTCTGTGGACGTCTAATTAACGTTAAGTTATTAAATAAGTGGTCCCTGAGAGCTGTGCAAACCATAACAATCAGGAACTGAAATAAGATGTACAGAGGCTGGCATGCACTGAATCAGCCGTCATCCTCACTGCTGTCACTGATGACTAATAAAGCAAGTGTGCACACACCTCAATCCTGATTCTTCATTTGCCACCTCCACCATTTCCCCTGCACAGAGAGAAATCAGGGTAGATCTCACTATTCTCACTGTTATTATCCTTTAATTCTAATGTGTGTTAAATCTTCATGCAGGGATAAATGAAACCAACAGCCGCACCACCCAGCTCTGCTCGTCGAGCACTTACATGTTTTTGATTAGCATTTCAGAGTCATAACTTTACCATCATTCAGTGTGTTAAGATCAGAGACTTTTCTAAAAAGATTGTACGGCAAACATCATGAGAGGCTAATAAAAATACCAAACAGATGTGGGGATCTGGCGTGCCCTGCAACCTATAAATAACATGCGTTTGATGGGAATCTGGGCTTCTAGTGGTGATGAGTGTGTTCCCTACTAGCTGTTTAGGGTTGTAGGATTTTCACCTGTTGGTTTTTCCTGCTGAGCACACTTTAAAATCCACATCACACTCCTGACACTGTGCATTTGCCAGCTCTGAATCTGCATAATTCCAACCTTGAAGAAGAATAAGAAATATCCCACTAAAGCCTCCCTGATCACTGACACTAAATCTACAAAGTCCATCATACTGTACGTCTCAGGCTGTGCTGTTTCTTGTCAGTGTTCACAAATCAACAGTGAAGTGTCCAGGATCAGAGGGTAGATGGAACAGCCGCTGTCCACCTTGTATCAGGGTTATTAAGTTGTTAAGGTACCACAAAGCTGAGGGGAGACACATTTTTACTGGACTTTATAGGAGACTGCATCCAGGTAGGATGCACAAGAAAGCGTGAGGGAATCCCTGTCTGAGAGGACAACCACAACACTGATGAAAGCAGGGTTATTGTGAATATTAAAGCCCCTTACGCATAAAACCATCACTTTCCCACTGAATGAGAAGACTTCACAGCAAAACCTCCAGATGTGGAGGAATGAGGTGATTGGGTTCAAATTCAAAGCTGCCCTGAGCTGAGGAGGTCACTCACTCCGCCGGGCTGCCTGCTCTGCCTGCTGGGATATTCAGCGCGTGAAGTAACAGCCACAAACACAGTCCAAGTGCCAAGTGCACAGGTGCTGCATGTTATACCCTGATATGCGGCCCAGATCCGCTTCCATGCTGCATGCGGTTTCTTTCCCATTCACTGAGGTGAAACTGAAGCCAGTGTGTTTTTTTTTTTGTTTTTTTTTGTTTTTTTTTTTGCTGTTTCACTTCTACCGGTGTATGCAAAGATTTGTGCAACAACAGAATCGACTTCATGTGGAGGAGACACGGTTGAGGAGCTGGTTCTTAATTGTTGTGTATCTCTCTTACCTCCCGTGTTGGTACGCTTGGTACAGCCGGCCTCCTCCGTCGGAGTTTCCAGCGGTCGTTTGCGGGAGTCCGGGCTGTCAGCCTCCATAAGGGGCTGCTGCAGGCTGTGGAGGTTCGGGTTGGAGTATATCCCGTTATGGTCCACGGTTGCTCCGCCACCACCGGCCATCATCATCTTCTTTCCCCCGGAGCTGTAGATAAATTATGGCTATTCCCCCTCTCTCTCTCTCTCTCTCTCTCCCTCTCTCTCCCTCTCTCTCTCGTTCACACACACACACACACACACACACTCTCTCTCTCTCACACACACGCAGCGCCCTCACCACCACATAGCCCGATAACGCACACCGCGATATGAACGACAAGTTTTGGGGGCTCGAAACGGTCTCAAAAGGATCAAAAGGCGAGGCAACAGTGGGATCGGGGGTCTCCTCTCCCCGCTGCTCTGCCGCTCTTCCAGCTCGTCCCTCACAGAGCTAAATATAAAATGCCATTGAGTGAAATGCGCTCATTTAACGCGCTCACCGTCGCTCCAGCAGCATGGTCCTTATTGTTGACGCGCAAAACAACCCCGCGCCTTAAAATAAAGCTGCACAACAGTCTGAGAGCAGATCTGCCATTGAGACAAGTGCAACAGCTCCGCGGGGGCAAGGCGCTGAAAAAAAAAACCAGCTCTCTCAAGTCATCTTCACGCCATGTTCCTCTGTGAAGTCCTCAGTGTGATAAGTGCAGCTGTTGTTATTGTTGCCTTTGTAGTGCGAGAGGGAAATATACTTTGAGAGCTCCGGAGAGGACTACAGTGCCACTGACCGGCCAAAAGACGAGGCCAGCACAGCAAAGATCCATCTGATGTGAAGAAACCACATTATGGACTCATGTGACTCTCCCAATAAAAATGTTTTACTTCCTCTTATAGTTGAACTGGATGTTTCACACACTGTATACTTCTCTGTTGGTTTAGTCTTTCTAGTCTTTTATTTTTCTTTTGCTTCTTCTGAGTCTGAAAATAGAACACCTGAGGTAAAATGATAAGAGCTGTGGGATCTTTATGATTATGTAACAGTATTTAATAGTAACACTGCAGTAAATGTCTATTAAGTCTCTGGTCTCATGTTCAGTCTTAAAATGTATTTTATGATTTCTTAGGCCTACTTACAGGCTACCAAATAAATATAGAAGTATGGGAAAATGAACTGGGAACCATTTTAATAATCAAGTAAGTGTTTAAATCATTTCTTTTCTAGGAAAAGCTGAATGACTCTAGTTTTTTAATTGTTAAGATTCTGTGCCTTTCTCTAATTACCATCGCTATAAATTGACTATATGTGGTTTTAACTGGTCAGAGAAAAAACATTTGCAGTTACCTTGGGCTTTAAGAAATAGTGACAGGCATTTATCACTATTTCCTGACATTTTATAGAACAAACTAATAATTCATAAAATAGCAGAGAACACACAATGCCCAAACTAAAAAGGTTCATAAGTAATTGGATGATCAACTGTGTGTTGCTAGTTCATGCACAAAAGAGTTGTGTGTGACTCAGGGCTGACAGACAGTTGAGAGTTTAGTCAACTTAGTTTCATTTAGTCAAGATGATAAGTAAAGAGGAGACTAGGATATCAAAACTAGGTATTTTATCAAAATCAACAGGGTTCATTTAAAAAAAAAAAAAAGACTTGACAGCAAGTCAAGAATGCTGTGTAGGTGGACATGTTTCCTTGTCTATGATCAAGACAAGACTTCATGAGCAAAACCCGGTAAGACTCAAAAACAGAAAGACCAGACTGCAGTTCATTAAAACACACAAAAAGAAACCAGTAGAGTTCGGGAACAAAGATTTATGGACTAATCCAAAAAACTGTGTTTGAATCTGTTTCCCTGTCAATATGTGTTTCCCCTTTACTTTAACCTGAACCTTACCTAACCACTGAGGGGGTGGCCGGGGTTAGGATAAGGTTATAGGTCACAGGCCACCTAGGCGGTTGCCTGTGCCACCAGCTGGAGGGGCGCTAAAGAGGAGGAAGAAATATTTTGTAATTGCTCCTGATCTTCTATATATATACCAGAACAGTCTGTGCTGCGATTCAGACAAAGTTCAGACATTTCCTCTTTCAGCAGGACAACGATCCCAAACATACAGCCAAAGCAACCACAGAGCTTTTCAGAGTGAGGGAGGTGGAATATCTCTGACTGGTCGAGTCAGTCACCTGATCCGACTGAGCTGCAGTTCACCTGCTGAAGACCAGACTGGAGACAGAGAGAGCCCACAACAATGAAGAGCTGCAGTGACTTTGTTTGATTTTGTTTGACTTCATGTGTATCTGTCCAGCTACTTTTGAATCCCTAATCTGTGAGCTCCATGTATTAATATGGCTATATCTCCCACAGCTCCTTCAGTACTTTTCTAAACCTCAAATTAAAGCTGAGACTTGGCACTTCAATGTAGTATCCATTCATTCATTTCAAATTGAATATTGTGGAGCTCAGAGCCTGAAGAACAAAAACTTTCCAAAGAACCAAAAATTCCAAATACTTACGTCTGGACTGTAACTGTGATTACACGTAATTGTTGCAGCCCCATAAAATGAGTTAAGCTGTTCACTTTAGATTTTTTTAGTAACAGGTGTAAGTAACAGTCTCAGAAAGATGAAAGGAGTGAAATACAAAATACAAAAGCAGCTGTACAGACCCAGATGTGTCATTTATTATTTGCACACTATCTACAGCACATCAGCTCATAGTCTAGAATACCATTACATAATTCCAATGAACTGCATCCATCAGTTTTTTTTTAACTGTCACCTACATTGAGTATGAAACCACGAAGCAGAGTTTTCCTGTTTTGAATGGCAAAAGTCATTGAACTCTTTAGGAACACACGTCCCTGAGAAAACACTGCGCCTTTAAATAATGCAAATGCTTCAGTCTGAACCATTGAGACTTGCACATGTTAACAAAATGCACTGTTTTGCTTAATGTGATGTTGTGTGAGCTGCGCGCTCTTCTTTCTTTGCTGGAGCATCTTTGCCCTCAGCGTCTGGAGCTTTGGCTGACTCCAGCTCAGATCCAGCTGTCAGTGCTGACACCCTCTGGGCGAGCCGCTCCAGGACCAGATCAGCAGTGCTGGTGAGACTATGCTGAATAGACAGAGAGGAGCAAAATAACACAAGTTTCAAATGAGATTTGAGGAGATGTGTTGAGTTTATTCAAAAAAGAAATAATAGGCTCTGAGTGTTGCTTTAGAAATGGTGCAACAGTTGTTTTGTGTTGTGATATGGTGCTTTTGAATGCATGAAGGTGAAACGCTGAAAAGGTCCATTAAGTGAGATCACTGTAATAATTTTTCTCAGGGTTTTGTTAGTTTTGTCGGACCATTTAAGCTGCTCAGTGATGATGAATGATGCTACAAGGTGCATCAAACAATGGCTGGAAAACCTCATTTTTAATGGATAAAAGAAAATGAAAATTGGAATTCACTTTTTTTGTCAATTACAGGCCTCCAGAGATCAAGGAAACAGATTAGACGAGACCTGGAAGTACACGCTGGTAAAGTCAGTTCAATCAATTCTGCTGCAGTTTCTGCTGGTGGCCAGTAGAGGTCAGCAATGATTTGATATTTGTTTTAATTTACTTCTCCACTAGAAATAATATTTTTCTCCATTCAAGACTAAGCCTTTGTGTTTACTGAAGTACGTGTGTGAGCTATCTGTTCTGCTGAAATGCAGAACATCAGAGAGGCACTGGCCTTTTATACTTTTAGCTAAATGTAGGATATTATCAATTGTGTTATCTGTTTTGTGTTGTTTTTGCTACTGACTGTTTTAATTACATTGTACATCTAAAAGCCCAGCTACAGACAGGCATTGAGAATTGGCAATAGCTATAAACTCCTTGTGCAACAAATTAGTTTCATGCCCTGTTTTGAAACTATGTTAAATTGCATTGTCCCTATCAAACAAATAAATAAAGAAACAATGAACACTGTAGCTTTGATTAGCACCATGGATGTTCCTGCTACACACCTGTAATATATGCAAGCCCTTCAGTGTGAGGACAGCCAGCTCTTTCAAACCGTCCCCGGTCAAGTCTAAGTAGATGACGGATAGCAAAGGACTCTTGAAGCTCCGCCTCCACTGCAGCTGAAACTGTCCGCCACCTGCCGGATGGAACTTGTAACACAGAAGTTCCTGTGTGGCAGAGACAGGTAGAAAACACTGTTATCATTAGCACCTCACCACAGCAGTCAGCGATGACGCCTGTGAAGAGACAACACACGTGTCCTATTCTGTCACGTCCCACTATTTTTAATTCTTACTGCACATGTCATTTTACCTCAGGGGTAAATCTGGTGATATTCTGTATTTTTCTTATTGTCAACAAATCCCATGAAAAGACCATAACAAACAATGAATGTCTCCAAATAACAACTACTGTGTGTATCCAAAGCCTGATATATCTTATTCCTCTGAGCCATAGACCTCCATTGATTCCAAAAACTATTAAAAATACTTCAGTGAGCCACATTGTTTCACTGGGTGACAAGTTTCTTCATAATGATGAACATGAGCATTGTAGTTTATTTTGACTTTATCCCACATGCACGCTACAGGAAACATTCACTAGTGTAACAAAACTATATTAATCCATGTCTGCAAATAGTCTCCAGTAAATGCACATTTCCTCCTGTTTGAATAACATTTCTTTAAAAGCTAAAATGACCAGATGCTTTTTTATAAATGACTCAGCATTTTCTTAAAAATGAGAAAAGAAAGATTTGTGTCACTGGAACCAGTGGGCTTCAAGCTGAGAGCCAAAGAGACACATACAAAGCCAAAGCATGGAGAGAGAGATGGACAAGCGCATTTTTGTTTTTGCTCTGTAATGAGTTTTAATGACACTAAAAATAGAATATCACCAGCTTTATCCTATAAAGTACTATTACAGTTTTTCTCAATTGCTTTGATGCAATTCACACATCACAAATGTCATTCTCACAACTCTTAATGCAGTTCTCAAAACAGTTAGTGCATTTTTCATAACATTAAATCACCTGTGCAAAAGCCTCCAAAACAATCAAAACCTTGTTCACATGTGCTGAAACA